CCATCCAGTGACGCTCAGATGAAAAAAGCTTGAAAGCCAAAACAAGTACAAAGCCGAAGAGCACCGAGGACTAAAACTTCCAAAAAGTTGCGCCTAACACGGCCAGGGTTTTCTGCCTGGGACAAGAACATCCTTATTATTTAGAATAATTTATAATTTTGCAAACAGTAAATTTATAAAATGACTATATAATAGATATACATGATAAAACCGAAGTGGGGACTAACTACAGAATAAAAACGGATACATTACATAAAACAACTTAATCCAACATATAAAAATACACAGCCGAGTTAGCCAAAGCATCAACGCACAAAGTGACGTCACATTTGAACTTAAATGCCTGTACCAAGTCAGGAATATGACAGTTGTTTTCCATTCGTTTGATGTGTTTGAGCTTTTGATTTTGCCATTTGATAAAGGACTTTCCGTTTTGAATTTTCCTTCGAGCTCGGTATTTTTGTTATTTTACTTTTTAAAACTATACTCGTAGAAAACGTATAAGAAACATGATAGCATATCCACATTTTACGGTTATATTGTTTACCGAGTTCGTACATTTAGATTCAATCCCGGTAAACTTATCGAATTTGTACGTACACTTTTTGTTAAAGGTTACCAATTAAACATTGTACTTTGAATATTGTTTTGTATCAATCTGATTGTTTTAGTTTGTTCGTGTGTTGTACTGTTACACCACTGTCCTATGTTTAGGAGAGGATATGGCGCCAGAAAACTTGTTTAAGCCAGTCATATTCTGTGTGTGCCTGTCCCAAGTCAGGAGCCTATAATGTAGTGATTGTCGTTTTTTGCTAAATATCATATTTTTTTTCGTTCTTTGTTTTGTACACAAATCAGGCCGTTAGTTTTCTCGTTTGAATTGTTTTACATTTGTATTGTTTGGACCTTTTAAGGCTTACAAAGCGGTTTGGGATTTGCTCATAGTTAAAGGCTGTACAATGACCTTAAGGTGTTATTTTTACGTCATTTAGACTTGGATGGAAGGTTGTCTCACTGGCAATCATACCACTTATTCTTATTTTTATAATTTTCAAGATCAACATTTCTTTGGTTATGCATCTGAAAGAAAAAACGGAATATACTAAGTTCAATAACAGAGGCATTGTGTTAAACAAAAGGCAAATCAAAAAGAGGAAGTCCATAAAATCTGACAAAATCAAACGCCATCAATCAACGGAGCAAGAGAAAAACAACTGCCGTATTTTCAAACTTGGTACAGGCATTTTCCGAAGAGAATGGTGAATTAAACCTGGTTTTATAGCTAGCTAAACCTTTCACTTGTATGCCAGTTGTTTATAGTTCCGTTATATTGACAAAATTGGGTGAGCAACCCACAGAGAAATAAAAGGTAAATGTGCCAATTTGGATCCAGCAGTCAAAAATTGTGTAAACATACATCACAGACATACAACACAACTGACTAAAAAATTCAAGCAAACATACAAAAAAAGTGTAGTAGATAGTAAATTTAGAATTGAAAATGACGTCAACAAAAAATGTTTTTTGCCGTTGATAGCACATGCCGTGTATAGTATATAAACTTTCTCGATAAAGGAAATATAAATACAATGGTAAACAAAATAGAAGCAACACTGTAAAAGGTCTTTGTGTCCGAATCGCATCTCAGGACCCACCTGCACCAGGAATGCCCAAAGTTAATAGTTAAAAACCCGTTGGTGGGATGCATAAATACCGAGACACTACAAAAGTCATACGACCAAAAGAAACATAATAGCACGAAGAAAAATAACGGGAAACTATAGTAAAAACTAGCATTCTTGACATTTAAAATAGCCCTTAAGGAAGTTCGCTTGTCATGTTTTGGAATTTTTGTCAGATTTTCGGAATCCTCTGGTTTTATCTATTTGAATGCCTTAAAAAATTTTGCCCATTGACCTCCATTTTTCTGTTTAAAAATCTTTTACATGCATAATTATAAGCCATCTGTTAAAGTCTTATAAAATCTTAATTATTTTTTAATAGTTTTTGAGAACTTTAACTTGTCAATGATAAAGCTATGAAAAATCAAGAGAGAATATTTTCCCGCAAAAATTTCAATGGCTTATATCTCGAAAATAAGCACATTGACCTATATTTTATTTTTGCTCTTTTTGTTCCTTTATTAATCCCCTATCAATATATACTAGTAATATGAAAAGCTTGTTATTTTGAAACTGAGTAGCGAACTCCCTTAAGGTAGCACAATACAAAGATCTTTTTACTTCCAATCACCAACCTTTCAAATGCTGTCACTTTCTTAAGACTGCATATAAATTAATAAAAGAGGTATACATAGATAGATAAAAGATTAATCTTTTAAATGAATGCAATATTTTTGTTATGTAATCATTATGTAATCAATTATTATGCAATTAATGGCAAAATCTTGGTCAGTTCACTTGAATGAATTTAGCTCTATCATCTCTATAACAATACAGAAAATTTTAACGAAATCCTAATCAACACAGCAGGAGCTACAAAAGGGTATCTCAAATTATCGCTATCGTATTCCATTCTCTCATAAATATGTAATTAGTGCAAACATCCTTACCACATAAACTAAGATAATGTTTGATTAGGTGTAAAATTTGATCTTTACATTCTATCCAAAATCTGAGACACCCTTTTGTAGATAATGGCTCTAGGAATAACATATAATAAAATCAACCCTCTCGGGGTATCCATGAAGAAGCTAATTTCAGTTGAAAGTGGAAATTTCTTGTAAATTTTTGTAGACACAGTTAACATTATAATTGATTACATAATTGTTGTATGATACTAGCATTGCATTAATTTGAAAGAATAATCTGTTAGCTATTCATAAATACCACTTTTATAAATTTTCAAGCATTATAAAGACAGTTACAGCATTTTAAAACTGGAGAATTGGAGGTATAAACTCTTTGTATTGTGCTACCTTAACTAGGTTCCTATGCTTTGATGCCTGCAAAAGCTACTCATATTAGGTTTACGAAATGTATTACTTTGAGCGTAATCATCAATACACCTTTTGTGAACAGTGATATTGGTCCCTATACTCAAAAAGATATTAACCTTTTATTTTATTGCCAAGTATAAAAAATAAGACTTTAAGTCTGTACTGTAACGTTAAAACATCGAAGACCATATGTAACGACTAAACCACAGACGAAACAATATATGCGGTTTCAGTAGGTACCTCATTGGGTGATACCGATATATAGATATAGATGTATCGTTATAGTTATAATCAGTGGGAAATCTAGTGACAAAATATTACCTCCCCTGTAAACACAGACATCCTGATCCATTCAATGTTTGTCTCGTTTTAGCAAGGACGCTATTAATTATAAATTCACAAGAAAACGTTCTGGTTAATACAATTGTAACGAAAACAAAATGTTCATATTATATTATCATTTTCCTCCTAAATTAGCAAACGACGAGTACAACATGCTTTGTGTAAAATGGGTTTAATATGTTGCTATGCAAATACATTCTTTGAGTACCAACTTCAATTTATTTATCTACTGGCTGTATACCTCTCTGGAACACGCCAATTATCGGTAAATGGATGCAGCTAGATCAGAGAAGTTCAGAGCAAAAAAATTATATGGAATCGATTGATATGCAGCAAAGATTAACACTTTTGAAATTAAGTTACTAAGCAAATACAAACGGACCTTATCCCGATGTAAACAGTGAATGTGAATAGAACGAGAAGACCGCACATACTTGTACAGAAATCGAGATGACTTTTTCTTAAAATTGTATAAAAAAATAATAATTTTTTTTATAACAAATAAGCTACGTTATAAGAATATTATCTTTAATTTTTGAACCTGCACAGACATGACTTTTAAATTGTTATATTCACGAAATGACAATATTTTTATATTGAAAGTTCACGTGACAAGAGCAGAACGGTGTACTCGAAGACTTAAGATGTGAAAAATAGGAATATTTTTTAGGAAATTGTAACATATCCAGGACTTTATGGAACACTCCGAAAATTTTTGAACTGAAAGATCTCTAGATTTTGTATTCATATGATTTTTTCCATTTTTTTTATCAATATCCAGCAAAGATTAACATTTTTTAAATTTCAGTTTCACTAGTTTCTAATGCAGTTATCTTGTAAACAATGAACACACAACATCGTGTCTTTGCATGTATATTTCTAATAACACAGTTTTAGTAACTTTATTTTAAATGCATTTTAAATGTGTTTCACTCGATTTTAGTTTGTAACACGGATTTGTTTTCGCTTAATCGATTTATAACTATTGAACAGCGGTATACTACTGTTGCCTTTATTTATAATTGTTGTTTAGAAATATTTTTTGATCAGTATCGTCACCGGCATTGTTTTACTGTTGATTTTCTCGACTTTATCATCAGAAAAATGTTTATTCTATTGTTCTCGTTCATCGGTTCAGCCGTAAATGCTCGTACCGTGCATTGTTTTTTGATACACGCGATAAATAAGAACCAAATGGTTATCCAATATATCTTTGAGATTAAGGCATTGGCGCGTATTAAAATATATTGATATCAAAATGACGGGTTGCATAAGTGTAGCAGGAACTGCTCACTCTGCTAGAGTATCTGAGTTCAACTCGGATTTTGTGTACTCTATCATGAATTTTGGGTGTACTGCATGTGGACTTTGTCATTTCGTCGTTTTTGACTTTAGTTTTGCCTGTTTTTCTTTTCCATCATTTCTTATCAGTGGTCAAATGTAGCAATACTGATATTTAGCAACGATTTCCGATTAAATCGGCTTTTGAGTCGTCTACATCTTTAACTGAAGCCTGGGGTTTGCTCTGTTGATGATCTGAGTGTGACCTGTGACTTTCAGATGAAGAACAGGAAAGCAATGATGATGTTTGGCTATGGGGTTTGTCGAGTACATAAAGGATGTTAGTGTAAGGCATTTATACACCACATATATGTGTATACTGTTTATCATTTTAAGTTATGAAAACGCTAAGAAGCTGTCCTGTTGGTGTTTTTCTTCCCTATATATGATAAATTTTTTTTTCTTACTAACAATCATGCTTGCTACTAACACAAGTAACCGAAAAATATGAAAAAACAAGTACACACCAAAGAATTTGAACGATTGACAATCATGAAATAAAAAAGAAATAAAAGTAAGAACATATAGTGCATTCTACTTTCAGTTGTCAGTTACAAACACATCTTTAAATTAACGTGACCGTAAACATTACGTTTGGTACACATCCTTCAGTAATTGTTAGATTTTAATATTTGGTTCCACATTTTATCATAACAGCTGCCTTTTCTGCAATCATCATCGTTGGTGAATTAGTATTACCAGATATAACATTGCGCATGACAGATGCATCAACTACTCTCAGATTTTTTATACCTTTTACCCTGAAACATATTAATTGTTATTAAACAACTAGGAGTAAAAAACGCTTATTCGATTAATGTATACTAATATTCAATACATGCACCAACGACATTTAGTGATTTGAATTAAAGAAACATGATGTTTTATATATGAACCATTATATGATAACATTAAACGCAACAAGTTAGAATCAATGAAATAAGTATACCAGTTAAAGTAGATGTATTCAGTGTACGTTTATGAAAAGTAAAACAGTATTGAAACGATGGACATGTTGCAACGATAGTGTTTGCATTGCACAAAAGTATTCACATGCAATTCTGGATTTTAACTTATATGTCAAACAACATTTAGTCAAATACAAATGTAGATGGCACATTGACAGTTTACTTTTACTGTGGTTGGACGTCATTCGTAATTCATTATGCGTTAGATATTTATATTCTGCCTAGTTTTTGTTCAAATAGTTATTTAGTCATCTTTGTTGTGTTATATTAATGAAAATAACAATCTATACATTTCATATTTAAATAACATTCCATTAACTGTGTGCGTCCGAAGCGCCTTTCTGGATTTACCTTCATCAGGAACGCTCAAACCTAAGCTTTTTTTATAGCCATTGATGTATAAGGCCTAAACCTCGAAAAGAGCTATATGATCAAATAGGATGTAAAAAAACAAATTAGAAGCTTAAACAATATTTTGATAATACCTTAATGTAGGATCTACAACTGCAGTTGGATCTCTTTTTGAACCCATCCTACACGAACTTGATGGATGACATCCCGATATTATAAAATGTCGAATAATGCATCTCCAGTAGTTGTCCGTATTGAATTTTAATTCTCCACAATGTCCTTCCATGTCATATCTAATAAGTCTAACATCAAGGCTCCGCCATGACGAAGTCTTCTCCAATTGCTGTGTCCAACGAATCACTATAATACATGTAGTACTGGAGTTATCAAACGCAGTTTCAAAGAATTGCATATTTTATAGAAATTTATACATTTGTACTTATTAGTATTATAATGTCTCAGTTTTATGCAAAATGACCTTTGCCAATCAATCTAGCTAAAAGTGATTAAGCAAATACTACAGCAATCTTTGAAATAGGAGTTTAAGTTGGTTTACTTACATCACTACGTTAATATAAATACAATGACACTTTTATTCGGGAGTCCCAATAACTAAATATATCAACGAGTTAAGTCAAATAACAATTCTGTATTTTATATAACATTGCAGTCAGGAAGGACCATTGAACAGAATTGTTGCTAGAAAGAATGTCCTTTTTCATCTTTTTGATTTTACACTAATTGTAAATAATTCTTATCAATCTTCTTTGTTATATTTTTATATCGTTGAAGGTGTAATACCACCATTGATTTTCCCCTATTAGTCTTTGTTAAATTTGCACTTTTCAAAAAATTGTGCAGAATTTATCTTTGTTTCAAATAAAGAAATACTTGGCATGAGTAAAGTTTGATCCTGTCCAGTACTATAGAAAAAATTTCACATAACATTTCATTGCATATAAGAAAATAACCATCACTGGAAGTTAACCAATCAAATGTTCCCCCTTTTTTAACCTGTATACAAGCTTTAGTAACCATGTAACCTCAAGTTTCCAAAATATTCTATAGAAACCCCAAATAAAAAAATAATGGTGCTTTGAAATACCCAAGATATATGTTTATGACCCAGAAATGTTTTACTGCAATGAAATGTAGGATCAATTACCTACAACTGTCAAATTCAAGGGAATATTTTTTTTCGACCTATTTTCGTATGCAACCGGATGTGACGTACTATGATTTGGTGGTATTACACCTAAAGAAGACTTTTTTGTTAAATAAACTGAATGTGACTTTTTTCCTTTCTTATACTGGTTATTTCAAGCATTCCTGTCAAGTTTTGTCATAATCAGTTCAATAGTTTGAGAAAAATCTAGTATAATGTAAGACGACATCTGCAGCGATTCGAGCTAAATTTTTTCGAAAAATCCAAACCAAGCCGCATCATGATAGAATATAGTGTGGACCAATAAATGATCAAATATTTATCTCATCTGCCTACAAACAGTTGAATATGATACAAAAGATGACTTTTGGATGATAAATACTACCAATGGACCTCTTTGTCTTCCTTATAAGGTCTCTTTTGGTCCATTTATACCTCTCATTTCCTCAAAATTTCTACTTTATAGGCCAATAAATAAACATTTTGGGGTAACTTTCACTCATTTATGATAGAAATGTTATAATAAATGATTAATTGAAGTATTCAAGCTGAATGAACTATCCGTATAAAAGTTTACTGTCTCCAAGGAGGTTTCAATAAGTCCTTACGTAAAACTTAAATTTACGCCGCGTTCCAGAGAGGGACATAAAAAGCTTCTCTTTTGGTGAATAATTTGTTGTTACTGCTTTAAAAATAATTTCATTTACCTAAAACTATATATTTATTAAAGTATTTCTTAGGAAAAATTTTCTAGTATAGCAGAATATAAGAAAAAAGGAGAAAAAGCTCCCCAAAACTCTAAGTATGGCTTATTCTGTCAACTTATATTCATGGTAAAGTCCTATTTCAAGGAAATTTTCTCATAAAATGTGTTTTGGAGACTCAATCCACTCAGAATATTTCATTATTAGTAATATTTCACTTAAATAGCAAGAAATTTTAACACATGAGAGTACTCACAAGGTCAAAGGTGCATGTACAGCTTCCTATATTAGGTGTAATACCACCATTGATTTTCCCCTATTAGTCTTTGTTAAATTTGCACTTTTCAAAAAATTGTGCAGAATTTATCTTTGTTTCAAATAAAGAAATACTTGGCATGAGTAAAGTTTGATCCTGTCCAGTACTATAGAAAAAATTTCACATAACATTTCATTGCATATAAGAAAATAACCATCACTGGAAGTTAACCAATCAAATTTTCCCCCTTTTTTAACCTGTATACAAGCTTTAGTAACCATGTAACCTCAAGTTTCCAAAATATTCTATAGAAACCCCAAATAAAAAAATAATGGTGCTTTGAAATACCCAAGATATATGTTTATGACCCAGAAATGTTTTACTGCAATGAAATGTAGGATCAATTACCTACAACTGTCAAATTCAAGGGAATATTTTTTTTCGACCTATTTTCGTATGCAACCGGATGTGACGTACTATGATTTGGTGGTATTACACCTAAAGTCATTTGCCTTGTGAATAATATACCCCTTTGTGAAGCATTCTTAGTATTTTGAAATAAACAGTAAAATATATAGTTGTCTGACGGAAATGAATTTGGCATTCATTTTATCCACCATTAAGGTATTTTTTTCTTTTTTATCCCTAAGTCTTGTATAATTTCCTTCCTTCTCCAATGTTTTACACCATACCTTACTTTTTTTCTTTACTTACTTTTTAAAAACATTTCTATGTCATGAGGATTTGCTAAAAATCTGGGGTCCAGGAGAGGCTGTCTTAAAGGGTTAGCGGTTGCCAGTCGTACATATCCTTTGCTTTTTGGATGCAACAAACATAGAAAAACATTAAATGAACTGTCAGTAGTTCGGTTTAAAAGTTCATGTTGTACCTGCAAAAAATTTAATTTTGGATGTTACACGTCTTCTGATCGGCTGATAGACAAAATTTAGTGATGTGACCGTGACGTCATCAACGTTCTTTCATGTTTACTCTTTTAAAATGGAATTTAGAATTAAATTATAAGGAATGACTGTAATATTTTTTCCTGTTTATTCGAAATAATCTCACAAATGTGGTCCACACTTTTGAATAAAACGCTACGCCGGTGATTTAGTGTGCACCGCATTTTTAATGTTATTTCTTCATAGACAGAAAAAATATTACAGTCATTCCTTATCGGTCGTGTATGTTTCAGATGTTAAATAACGAGCTATTTGAATGATAAAGCAGGACTTGTTGTCATTCAGATTAAAATCAGTTCTAAATCAACAAAGGGTAATATATATTTATGCAAATGCGTTGTTCATTACATTGTCATTGTATGTAAATCAACAGCCACCCTTTCCTTCTCAATAAACTAAAACAGTCATACTGGTTTATCATGATTAGTAACATGAATCCGTATATGACATAAATATATAACTAATACACATATGCATTCCAATCAACCAAATTAGTTTCTCATGCAGATAATTATTAAATCCTTTAATTTAAAAGAACCATTTATTTTTTTTCAAAAATACAAAATTTGTCTCCAACTTAAATGGGGGTTCCGATATCTTCACAAACAAATGAGTCCGTCATACGGTGAATTTTAAGATTTTTCAGTTATTTTTTATCGAGTTTCATAAGCTTCAGAACAAATACTTCTGAGTAATAAATGTGATTACGTGTATATACATATAAAATGTGAAAAAATGAAAGACACCAGCCGTAATCGTCCAAGTAGTAAATGCTATTGTAGCGGCCGAATAAAGTTGCTATATCTTCCCCGTTTTAAATGCAAAGCAACGAAAATATAATCCTCAAATGAGTATATCTTCCTGGGGACCTATAGGGTATCACCAATATTAATCAATGTTTGATTTGTGTACCCGCCCGTTGCGCAGCGGGATATATGGTAATGATCGTCGACCGTTCGTCTCCTCGTCCAAAACACATCGATACTCAAAGATTGTTTGACATAAGCTTTCATTTTTATTAGGGTTATTTGTCGATATATTCTGTTGACTGTGCTATATCCTCAATTTGATTTGATTATTTTTACGGGATTAATTTGGTTTTGATCATTTGTTCTAGTATTGAAACAATGCCAACTTGTGAATGAAACTCCAGTCAATGTTAAAAAAGAGCTCTCATACCTGCTGAGATTGTTTGCTATAATGCGACGTTGATCATGTTATATTGACTAATTTTACGGGTGAAATGGTTTGAAGTATTGTGACAGAGCACCTTGTGAACGGAACTCCTCTTAGACAATTTCACGGAAAGCTCTCATACGTAGTACTATTGTTTGGCATCATGATTAGTTGGTCATATAGGACCGCCAATTTGATTTAACAATTTTAAGGATTTAAAGGGACTTTGACCATTAGTTGGAGTATTGGAACAACGCCTTGTGTACACAACTGCTCTGAGACCATTTAACAGAAATTCGTTTTTTGTAATTTTGAATTAATATTTTTCTGGACATAGAATTAGTAATATTTAATTAACAACTGGGGTATAGCATACATTCATAGCAAGCATAGATTAGGAACACTCATACTATTTTCATCAAAGCGCCAAGATGAGTCAATTGTAGACAAAATGATCTCTCTCGTACCAAATTATAAGCCTGCTATCTTTTATGAGGTTTTCCATGATAACACAACCCCTATATTATACCCCGTATACTAGACCAAAGATTTTAAGTGGTCAAGTTGAAATATTCCCTTCTAAATTTTATGGGCGCCATCATGAGTTGGTTTATCGCTGTGAAATATCTGTGTCACGGCTATGTATCACTTGTCGTAGGCATTCTGCCGAATTATGACATTGCCGAATGAGACTTCCCAACGTATTTTTCACCTACTATCAGCAACACGGCGGGTGCCCCATTTTGAGCCGAAATGCTTATTATTGCCGAGCACCTATTAAAACTCCGGGTTTTCGGTGGGGTTCATGTTGCTTATTGTTAGTTTTATATGTAGATTGTTGTAAATTGTTGTTTGTTTTTTTGCATCGTTTTCGTTTTTTTTTTTGCCGTTCTTTTGCCTCTCTCCGAATTTGAAAAAAAACACAATTTTGAAGCATAGTGTTCCTTTTGAACTAGCGACACAGTACGTATGCGGTATAATAAGAGGCATTAGTTTGCCATGAGATTGCAAAAATTGTAAACTTATTTAAGCCTTTCAACATTATGTTATTAGTACTTGTATTGATAAATAATAGATTGATTTAATATGGACACGTAAGTACAGAAAGGGTCTCTTGTGATGTAACTATGATGTCATAAAGACATCGAAAATATGTATGAGCAACAGCTTTACCTTAAAATATATTGTACACGCATTAAAATCTTTGTAAACTCTATTATGAAGCAAATTTGTTTTGGGGTAAAGCTGTTGCTCATATCTAAATATTATTGACAAGATGAGGCTATTTTGACAGTTTTCGCGGTCTTTCGCTAAATATAAAAAGTTTAAAGTAATGGTGAAAATATATATAATACAAAATTTTAATATATAAATACTTATGTCGTATCAACATAGTAAGATTTTTATTTGGTAGATTGATAACACTTTTTTATTTTTTCGAATTCAAAGGGCAAGCAAAAAATAGCCTAATCATACTTTCGTTTTTGCTCAAGGCTACTGATTACTTTGATGGTACCCATACGTTACACACTAAGAGAGGACGTTTGTACACAAATAAGTTTTCTATATTGTGTTTGTTCTGTTGTAATATTGTGAACAGTATGGTAGAAGAAATGTTTGCTGAGGAAACCTTGTTTGTTTATTATTGATGCATCGACCATTTGCAAATAGAATTATAAATTTGCTGCCAGATATAATTTTAATTAAATATTAAGTAGTTTTTTAAGAGTTGATAGAAATATTTCTATCCAATTTGTAATGGAAAAAGAGTGTATGCTATATCGTGGAGGCCAGTTTTTATTGTTTGAGAAAGCCGAAGGTCCCGGAGAATTACCTAACTTTGGCAGAAAAACTAGCGGTTCTAGTCAATTAAGATTGGAGTCAAACGCACCTGCTACGTACATGAATCAACTCACAACCTAAGCGTTAACCAGCTATTAATACTGTAGATTAACTAGTTAGACCAATTGGCTACCAATGTTGCTATCTGAAACCTACTGTTAGCTAAATTAAACAGATCAAAACGTACATCCCTATCATTTACATTCGAATACGATTTGCCGCAAACTGCAAAGTGTCAATACCTTGTCGATATAGTTGCTGTATGAATTAACAATACTTGGTCTTTCATATGCAGTGGGACCAAAGATATTTTGAGAGTCTGCATACTTTGAAGGCGAAGTTTTGTCCAATTTATCAAACATGTGTCCATCCACTAATGGTGTTGTATAATAACCTGAAAATCATTAACAGAAAAGACAAAGTGGTCGTAAGTATTCACTCATGCACCTTTCATTTCGACGATTTCCTAGCAACTGTTTTGGAATTTGTTTTTTGATTTCATTTTAGTTATAAGGTAATAAACAATACATTTGTATGGTTCTTTAAGTTCCCGGATAACATTCACTTACCTATCATTTTGAAACTTGATTAAAAAGGTTTCTTATTCTTAAAAAGCTGAAACTGTCATCACAGAAGTGTGATTAAATTGCAGTTATGAAATAATTTGGGTAGATATATATTTAAATTGAAGTATAATTTAGTTATATATAGATTACAATTTTTAATTGTTCGTTGACCTTTTCACTAGGGCATGCATGCAATAAAAGAGAGGCGAAAGATACCAAAGGGAATTTCAAACACATAAGTGAAAAAATAGACCGGCAACGCAATGGCTAAAAAAGAAAAAGACAAAGATCAAACAACAGTACACAAAACACAACATAGAAAACTAAAGACTGAGCAACACGAACTCCACTAAAAACTGGGGGTTATCTTAGATGCTCCGGAAGGGTAAACAGATCCTGCTCCACATGTGGCACCCTTCGTGTTGCTCATGTTAGTACAAACCCGATAATAAGTTTATTTCGATTGGTCACATTCGGGGAAAGGGGGACGGGAACAATAAGCATAAAATGAGTTTCTTAAAGGGTCGTGTATTCTCAGATCGGTTCGTTTTGTATTTTGTCCTCGTATTATTTTTTATTGTGCTTCGTGCCGTTGAGTGTAGCCTTTTCCAACTAATTAATACATTTTGTTTTTATATTGTGCTGTTACACCACTGTCCCGTGTTAGACGGAGAGCTGACCGTTGACAACCATGTTTAACACTGCCACATGTTTTATGTGATTGTCCCAAGTCCGGGACCTGTAATAACTGAATTGCGTTGGTTTCCGTCTGCCATATTTGTATTTGTTTTTGTATATTTTTATTTTAGCATACACTAGGCCAGTGCTTAACATTTTGTTAAAGCATCATAAAAACATTGCTCATTCAAGAAGGCTGCACCATACTGAAGAGTTGTTTACCACCTTGTCCTTTTTGTCACTGGTGGATTGCAGCCTCATTAGGATTTTTTTTTTATCTTTTGGATTCATACCAATTTCCTCAATGTTTGTTCTCATATTACTTAATATATACCTTTCCTGTGAAGTATATAGTCTAAAACAGTCTCAGGATCCGTCAATTTTTTCACGTTGATATTCAGCGTCGTATTGATTGAATAAGGCATCACAAGGATGGGGTGATTTTGTAAGTTGTTTCCAACGGGCAGATCAGCATGCACTGGAATCTATTTATAAACAAATAGAATGTTAATAAAATCAAATATAGCTTTATAAATTGACTAATTAGGATTAACCTGATTGATTATTCACCTCTCTATTGCTTGTGAAAAAATACAGTCCCTTCATCATGTTCATAATGCATTTGAACCAATACAATTGTGTCTTTAATTTACTCAGTTACGTTCGCATTTAAATTACAATCTAGTGTATTAGTCCTTTGATTGACTTTAAGGGTTAGATCAATATTAATAAACTCTTCCAAAAAGACTTCCATAGCAATTCCGTACGAATGTATCACTTATCTCTTTTGAATATTCCATATTGTGTTTCGTAACGTCGAAAAAGATTCGGCTAGACATTGTCATCTTTAATTCAGGATTATGATTCAATGAAACCAATACGATGAATACGTTATCATTTTTAATATAACTAGTTTTTGTTGGGGTTCGTGTTGATGAGTCTTTAGTTTTCTATGTTGTGTTTTGTGTACTGCTATTTGTCTGTTTGTTTATATGTCTTTTTCATTTTTAGCAATGGCGTTGTCAGTTTATTTTCGACTTATGAGTTTGAATGTCCCTTTGGTATCTTTCGCCTCTCCTGTAAATAATTTACACAAAAAATCCTGACTGGAGAGCTTCGTTGGCAATTTTTCATCATCTCACTAACAGATTTTTTTTTTGTTTCCTGAAGATGAGATTCATTCAGACGGATCCTTTTCTTTATAACTATTTTCCATTACTGTTAGTGCGAGATTGACCCATGTGATATTTACATGACTGTATTGATATACCGACTAAATTAAGGCAAGAATAGTTTACTGATGTTCATATCTCATTAATCGATTGAAAGGATAAAAACGTAGGTAACAAAAAGAAACTGAGGGAATCGCATGAACTTCAAAAACAGAGAAACCGGTGTGTCGACAGGATACGCGGCGTCTCCTGGTATCAATGAATTAACCATGCTGCGATTCAACACTCGGTCACAATTTCACAATCGGATAGGACAAAATCGCTAAATAACAGATCAGACGACTTCCCTGGTCTCTAAGTATCTAAGACCGCGAAAACATGTCGAATAAACCGTAAGTATTTCAATGATTATTCTTAAAAATATGTCACTACATAGTACCGTTTTTATTTCGATAGATCGATAGCCAATTTTGAAAAAAAAAAATCTTATACATTGAAAAAGATGAATTAAAATAGAAAATACTTACCTTGAACTTTCGAAGATGCATTTTTGGCCCAACACCAGACAGAAGTAATATATGTGGTGAACCGAATGCTCCTGCAGACATAATGACTTCTTTACGAGCATAAACGTTATATGTTCGCCCTCCTTTCACAAATTGTACCCCAATAGCGCGTTTCCCACGAATAAGTACCTACAATCCAATAGAACATTAATAAAAGTAAAATGCTCAAATTTGTGGAGAAGTAAAACATAGTTTGTTCATGTCTAAATAATATACATGTATGCTAAAATAATAAAATTAGAAAGTTATTTCTATAATTTCATTTCTAAATTTGTCTTTCTTAGTTAAATGTACACTGTTAATTGACCAATTTTAAATGTCATAAAAAAACAGTAGATCATTCTAATGTGCAAATGATCATTGAAAAATACCTGTTAGCACTTATGTCTAAGCATGTTATAATGTAAAAATAAGCCTAATTACGATACATTCATTTCCTACACAACGGGCGCCACATAGGGAGCAGGATCTGCTTACCCTTTCGGAGCACCTGAGATCACCCCCGGTTTTGGTAGGGTTTGTGTTGCTCAGTCTTTAGTTTTCTTTGTTGTGATTTGTATAGTGTTGTTTGTCTTTTTGTCTTTTCCTTTTTTTCTGCCATGGCGTTGTCAGTTTATTTTCGACTTATGTGTTAAAATGTCCCTTTGGTATTTTTCGCCTGATATCTTACACAAATATCTCATACTAGTTCTACCTACCTTTGTAACATAGCTGTTTAAACTGATTTGTAAATTACGTCGGTACATAACAGGTCTAAGGTAGCATGTAGTTGAACTACAACGTTCACCGTTTTTTATATTTGCCTGATTTGGACAGTATCCTAAAAATGGTGAACATACGTGTATTGCACACCTTTATATGCAGCAAAAGGTGAATACAATGTGTATTAACTTTTATATATTAAATGATATATATTGATAGGCTTAATTAACGCAGTTTAAGGGTAAACATTTATATATGACAGATGAGTATGTATACATTTTTTTTTTGTAATACAAGAACAGAGGTAGACTATACATGTATTTTCCTTGTCAACGCGAGATATGATTGGATATGCCCTCGGGAAATGTGAAATTTATCGGGTGAACAACTATTCATATTTCCTCATGTTCCGTAAGCAATGGAAATTAATGTTTTACTCTACTACTTTTAATATATGAAAATTCAAATATTCTACTGATTTTAGAAAAGAAATATAGGTTAAAAGGAACATACATTTTACGGTTACTGTTACAAATGTGTTGATTTAAACGATATGACAGTTTTGGTGTCTCAACTCACTAGTGATATGTTTTGTTATCTTAGATCTGTAGATATTATTGTCGTTTGATCTGTAATGTAACCGTGTGTGTCCTATTTCCGATTATAACATGTTGACGGGATATGGATTTTCGTAGCCGGTGATGCACGCATATCGGGAGACGCTTATCCTGTCGACGCACCAGTTATGGCTCCTTTTAGTGTCCATGCAATTCCCTCAGTATGTGTTAGTTACATTGATATTCTATTTTAAGCACTATTGGTTTTTGTAGAGGCCAGTTTTTATTGGCCACAGAACAACTGACCTTCGGCAGGAAAACTTGCAATTCTAGTCAATTAAGATTTAAGATTGGATACGAACGCACCTGCCACGTGCGGGGTCTCTTATAAATCGATTTTCGGGATTTTAACCTCGATATACTATCGTCATCGTAATCTATTACTACATGATCTTGATATAATACTAATGATTACTTGCATATTATTTAAGAAAAGTCTTGTTTTTCTGTTTTTGTTAAACGCCTGAAATAAGCTTAACACAATGGTTACAATGTTTTGCTAAGTAAATAGTTTTGGAACTTGATAACAACGCGAATAATAGAGGACTTTCGATTGACAGAGGTGAATATGATATATTGTTAACTCACCTCCACCATACTTTGTATTATGTGTATATCGTTTTGTTTTAGGCTTCGGTGGCCGATTGGTCTAAGTAGTGTGTCAATAGCCTGTCAACACTGAGGTTACGAACGAATTTGGATTCCGCAAATGGTAGGTGCGCTCGACTCATATCTTATTTGACTTGGATTGTCATTTTTCCTACCGAAGGTCTGAGGTTCTCTCATGGTACTCCTGCTTCCTCCACCGATAAAAATTTACCGCCACGAAATAGCCCCGTAGTGCTGTTTTTGTTGTTGTTGTTCTATGTCATGTGGAAATTCTAAACATATTTATGAAGATATACTTATATATCTCTTGTACGACAAATCGTAGTTTATAAAATCTGCAGTTGCTTTCTGTAATCCAGGTTATTCTTCTTATAAATTTGACATCATAGTTAACTTTTTTTAAATTTGTAGCATGCCATATTAATATTTACTTGGAATTAATAAATAGCCTCAATGAAATGGTACTAAATAGTTTTTGAATGACTTATAAGGCAATATTATAATTTGACCATGCCTTCTATTAATCATAATATACATTTGTATGAAATTAGCAGACGATATGTAGTATTCAAGAATGCATGAATTCGGAAATAGGTGTATGTAAAACATATTCTTTGAAGTAGTTAACAAGAAGATAAGACAACTTTCTCTTTAATAATGGCATTAAGGCTTGTAATTTTGCACATTCTACTAAGGAATAGTACTGTTGTATTGATATCTTAAACATTTTGATGAAAAAAAAGGAAATTTTTGAAGTTCTTTTCAAGATAGATGTTGTTTTAATAAGAACAATATATTGACAGCAAACACCTTGCCATTGACACTAGTGTTAATTGTACCTATTTGGCTGTATCCATTGCAATCAACAGAACGGTAACCAATTTCCGAAGCAGCTTTCCGATTGAAAAATTCTAAAGTTGTGCTAGACTTAGGTGTCACAACTATTTTTCCTTTTGTGCCTCTATAAGCTGAAAGTATAATTACATGCTTTATGACTAAAAATATTTTATAACATCGTTCATAAAAACATATGCCCACAAAGGAAGTATATTACCTCTCAAAAACACATTCCAAAGTTCAATTGGCTTAGCCATTAAACATTACTTTTATAGAAAATCGTTTATAATATGAAGTAGGCAATACATACTTTACCTTAAATGATTCATGTCTATAGAGTAATGTTTGGTCCTGCGATTTTAGCCCGGTAACTGACAAAATAGGTCTTTTAATTACCGTTAACATTTTAAAATAATTTGCCTAAATGTTTCCCGAGTCGAAATGAAAAAAGAGACCGTAAACGGCACCATCAAATAAGGGTGCCACATGTGGAGCAGGATCTTCTTTAGTGGGGTTCGTGTTTCTTAGTCTTTAGTTTTCTATGCTGTGTCATCTGTACTATTATTTGTCTGTTTGTCTTTTTATTTTTGGCCATGACGTTGTCAGTTTGTTTTCGATCTATGAGTTTGACTGTCCCTCTGGTATCTTTTGTCCCTCTTTTACTCTTCTAGTTAATTAAAAATGTCACTATTTTGTTTTGGAATGTATACAAACAGTATACAATTTACGTGAATATTGAAAAAAAAACATAAAACAATGTGTATGTCCACCTCTGCAGTTAAAATGTAGGGTGAAGTTTTTATTCATGTTTGCCCGTTAGCAAGCACATGACTGCTTATGATACGTGCACGCGATTTATTGTCTGCATTCCTTATGTGTCTATGTACGTGTTACATATTACCGTGGTTCATCCGAAGTTTGATTTTTGTCCTTGTGACTTGAAATGCTGTATAATTCAGACGGTGCTCTTTCAAAAGTGTAT